GAACGTGGAACGGGTACAGCACTTTTAGCCCCTTTTTTGGCTGAAATAGCCATTTAAGTCCCCTAAATGAGTCATTTGGAAGTGGTGTATGCCAAACATGTGACTGCTATTCTGTAGACACATGTTCAAGGTACCCTTATACCGAATTTCAGACCATTTGGTTGTAAAACCAGCGCTCAGGATCCAAAAATCCATTTTTTGTCGAAAAATGCCCCAAAAAGCCTTCATAAAAATTTTTCAAAGGCATGTATCAAAAAAATGAAAAAAACGCCTAGGGGTATTGGCCCACTCTACCTCCTTGCCAAATTTCAGGTCATTTGACTAAAAAATGACAGAGTTGAATCCCTTTGACTGTGTGGCAGGAGAAGGAGGAGAAGAAACATGAGGGAACACAATATATTTCATCCATGGTATGGACTGAAATATAATAAAACACACATGCACAATGATAGTAGTGCCTTAGTTGGTAAAACAACTAAACTACATCAAAGTTTCAATGCTATGTTGATAGGTAGTTCAGAAGTTGGTTAACACAGACACAGACATGTACATGTACATGTACGTACCACTTGGTACTTTACTTGCATGCAGAGCGAGCGTTTCTTGACGGCGGCCGCTCCTCCTGTGAAGGACTTCCTGATGCTGGAGATCCTGCGCAGGGACGAGGCGCTCTCCAGACCCACCACCGACCCCGAGTAGATGTTGGAGGTCGGCAGGCGGCCGGCAAACAAACCACAGATATTCTCCCTAGAGAAGAGTGTTCATGGATTAGTTCATTGGTATCCTGCAGTTTGGAGTTTTGTCACTAGATGTCTCTGCTACTTAATGCTTTGAAAGGCTGTCAAAGATGCCCACGCTGACAGATAGTCATTTGTGCAGCGACCATTGAATACTAAAAATTAACCCTTACCCCTTTCTTTAGTACTGGTTTCAAAAAGTGCAATGAATTTTATAAAAGAGAATGTCCTGTTGAAAACCACCAAACCTTCAGCCATCTTCATCCTTTTCTTTTGACCAAGGACATTATAATGAGATATATGATGTCTTTGTTCTGACCAACTATAATACAGTGCTTACTTCTGTGAGTCCTGTAACACGCCAGATGCATTCTTGGTTGCTGGGCTCTCCCGGGCATGTTTGAGCCAGTTGGTGACGTCGTACTGTACGGGGTTGCTCCCCTGCGCATGTCTCAGGATGAAGGAAGACTTCTTGGTTCCCCTGTGCACCAGCCCTTCTCCTGTAACAGAGAAAAACTACATCAGCCCTACATGTACATTGTATCTTCACCTGTGTGTATATGATGTGCAGTGTGCACCCCTAGTGACTCTTAGAAGAACTGCAGAATAGGTGAGTCTGTGAATGCTAGAAATCATATTGTTTGTGCCACTACTCCAAAACTTACATGGCTAGAAAATGGCTACAAACTTAATGTCTCTGGTGATGAAATATGATAGAAAAGGTTGCAGATAACTCTTAACCCACACAAACTTTTCAATGTAAAAACTAAGAAACTATTCAAAACTAAAGGCAACTTACTTCTACTTGTCCCATCACCATAACAGCTGTATACTCTCTGCAGGAATGATTCTTCGGTGGCCCCTGGCATGAGTGACTCCTCCTCCAGTATCCATAGCAAACCTTTGTGGTCTAATGCCTGGGTGTCCAGGTTGGTCCGACTCTGGAAAAAGAAAATAACAACATGACAATCCAGACTTCAACATACATGTAGTTATAAAGAAAAACTACTAACAGAGATGTTGGAAATACATCCTAGGAAGACTTAAATTTACATTTATGTAGAGGTACTGAAACTTGCAGGACAGTACTACTCAGTCATTTTTGGCTGGCTGGTACAGAATGACATAAAATTGGTGGACATGCAGACACTCTCTCATTGGTCAAATCACTAATAGCCATTCTCTCATTGGTTCAACTGCTATATTGCCTTTCTCTCATTGGCTGAACTGA